GGGGAGGCAGTGGGGCTGGGGAGGGTTGCAGCAAGGGGAGAGGGACTGGGGCTTGCGTGCTGAGTTTGGGGTGAGGTGCGAGAGGTTTGGGGGTGTGCGGTGGGGCTGGGGGAGGAGGCATTGGGGATACAACTGTGTGCCTGGGAGGTATATCTTGGGGAGGTTTCCTGAGGAGGACGCACTGGGAACAGGAGGAGGGGTCTGGGGAGGGGTGCACTGAAGACAGGAGGATGTATTGGGGTTTCTGGGGTGATTTGGGGCTTCCCTGAGTGAGGGATGGCTGATGAGGGCCTTGGCTGGGGCAGGTCATGGGAAAAGGGAGTGTGTGTTACTCAGTGGAGGCGTTCCCACGGAGGGTGGGGGGCTGGAGTTTCCCCTCCTGGACAGAAGGCATGAGCTCTGTCTTCTGGCCTGGAGCTTGGGGTTCGAGTATGGCCAGCACTGACCAGAGTGAACCTGCTTTCCAGCCTCCAAGCTGGATGCGTGCTGTGCATGTACCCGTAAAACCCACGGGGCAGAGCCAGCTTCTCTTGCCCTTGTGTAGCCATGTGTTACTGCAGACTGCGAATCTGCTGCTTACCGTCTCTGCTGACACAGTGTCTGACACCAGTAACAGCAGTTGTTTATGTGGGAGAGTGGCATGAAGGAAGTACTTGGATGTTTAGCTATCGAGATAAGTGTTTAGTGTCTAGCCCTTTGCAAAGAGGAGTTCCTTTTGCTTTTTACTGTCGCTTTGCTGCTCAGCCCCCTCTTCTGGGCCTAAGGAACGTGATCAGGTAACCCCTGAGTGTTTGCTGGACCTGATGTTGACCAGTCCCTAGTCCAGCACTTGGAAAAAGTTTAGTAAATGCTCAACTTCTTTATTTACAGTTCACTTTAACCTGTATGTCTCTATCTGGCTCAGTCCTGAGCAACAGCAGAATAACATCCTCCCTGTGTTCTGCTCTGACAGCCAAGCCATTGCTGTTGTCTTCCAAAGAAGCGTGGGGTTTTATGCGGTTCTAGCAAGAAATATGTCTGTTAGCCCTTACTGCTTAGGGGTTTTTTTGTACTTAAACTGACACAGTGGGCTGAGATAAGATGTTGCAAATCTGAGACCTCAAAATACAAATAATTTCGTAATCATCTGTGTGGGTCAGTACTGCAGTGCTTCGGTGGTGGTCTGATCAGACTGTTTTTACACCTATTTCTAATCTTAAGATATTCAAGCTTGATGAGTTTCCAGTCACCTTGATTTGGGAGTCAGCACTTCTTTTCTGTCAACAGCTTAAAACAATACTGACTAGAGTGATGTAAGATTTGTGTGGGATGGAGGAAGATTTAGGTCTATAATGAAGAATGGCAGAGACCCTTGTTTGGGAAGAAACCTTGCTGCTTGTTTGCTTAAGGGGTTGATTAGGGCTTCACTGCAATTAGAGCTCAAACACTAGAAAAACTGCTGTTGGCAGTGGTGGCCGGTTGCAAGTAAGAAGTAATGCGAAGGCCTGTTTATCCTGGCATTTTCCACTTAGCAGTTCTTCTGACTGCCAGCTCGGCTGGCAGCAGGAGCTGAGAGCTTTGCTCGTAGAAATCAGAGGTGAGCTTCTTACTGCTGTCCTGTGCAGGAAATTCTTGTGCGAGGTGGAGTCTATGTGGACGTTACAGGTGCTTTCTCTCCCTTTGTTAGATGAAACTTGGAGCTTGGTTTTGTTAAGTATGGTAGAATGACTTCTGCCACTGCTTGCTCTCCGCTAGTCTGTCGTCCTCTGCCTGGGCTGTCAGCTATTAGTTGGTTTGGATTAGAAGAGGAAATCGCTGAACAAAGTTCCCTGCCTTAGGAGAAATACTGTAACGCTAATCAGCTTTTAATTATACGTATCAGTTTCTCTATAGTTAATAGCAATTTTTTCTTTGTTCAGGGAGCTGAAGTTGTATTCTTTGGCTTGCACGGCAGAGCAGATCCTTGCTTCGTAATGTTGGAGAATCTGCAGAATCGCATACCTATTAAATGAAGGGGTTTAGCTGCGTGGATTATTTCATGGAACTAGTGGGGTTTTTTTAAAAGCTATTTGCATATCTTGGGAGAGAGTTCGTGATTGCAATTGGAACTTCTTGGAAAATTTCCTGGCTCTATTTATAAAGGGCATGTGCTGAGAAGGAGTTTCTCTCTGTTGATAT